ACAGATTTCTTGCAGGGTAGCCTTCACGAGGAGATCTGGCTGCGCCGCCTACCTGGCTTCACTGGGTTATTTCCTGAGGGTACCTAGTGGAGCCTCCGGCGGCCGGTCTACGGTCTCCGCCAGGCACCCTGCAAGTGACACAACACACTGAGACGACACTTGTGGCTCTTGGGTTTGCTTCTTCGACTGCTAACCCGTTGTTGTTTCTGCGCACCGACCCTTCTATGCCGCCGTTATATACCCTCGTGTACATCAACGACTTGGTCTTTGCTAAAACCGAAAATGAGGCGTTGGCCCTTGTGAAGTCGGAGCTGCAAAAGAGACATACTTGCATTGACCTGGGTGAGCTGCGCAGCTATTTTGGTTTGTAGATTACTCGGGACAGAGCAAGGGGCACCATCACATTGACTCAGTCACACATGGTGCTACAGGTCATTCAGCACTTCAGCTTCCAGTTTTCCTTGCCACAGCCCACTCTTCTGCCTGCGGGCCATTCGCTCTCAGCTCCACCTTCAGACGAGTCCGTAGAGCCGAGTGGTCCGTATCCAGAGCTTGTTGGTTGCCTCATGTGCCTGATGACATGCACACGACCTGACAACGAATACCCTCTCAACCTCCTGGCTCGCTACGTGCCTCCTGGTAGACACCGAAAGGTGCAGTGAGAAGCTGCTAAGGGGGTACTGCGTTACTTGGTGCAGTACATCGTGTAGAATCTCACTACTATAGTAGCTTGATAGAGCTCGAATGCACGATATTAACGCGCCAAAGATTGCAGGAAACGGTCCACTATAGCCATAGATACACACAAACATAGCCGTGATAATAACTTAGCTGATTTCTGGTTTGTGCTCTCTGGTTTTACACTAGGACGCAATACAAAATAAAAGCACACAAGAAAGTGTCGACCCGGGTCGCGAACTTTGCCGGGCGAATTCCATTGACTGGAATTCCGTAGACGATAATTTCTGCGACCATAATTCCGTCAACCACCGAGTGTAGCTCCCGTGCGAATTCCGTTGACTTCGACACTTCGCTGCCGAGTTTCAAATTGAACGCGACCCGATATCGATGTTAACAAACTATCCCCAATCTGTCCTCAAACTGTCCCCAATCTGTCCTGATAAGACACTTTCGGGACACTTGAATCGAAAGGTCTCCAGTTAGAAACTCGCGTCCACCATACCCATCACTCACTTTCAGGACCGATTTGAAAGTTACGAGTTCGAATCCCAGCGCAGACATTTTGTTGCTCATGGCAGCATTTCCTTCTAACATGCCCCCTTGTTGTCAGGAGCACGCTGCACCAGGCCGCCTGCTGCACAACATTGGTTGAAGGCTGCCTTGTCGAGCCGCTTCGTGAAGAAGACCGCGGGCTGCGCCGTCGTAGGGATGTGTTGCAGCTCCAACTTCTTCATGCGCACCATGTCCTGCAGCGACATGTGGCGACGGTCCACATGTTTCATGCGCCCCTGGAGCCCGCCCGCCTAGCTGAGCTGCACCGCTGACATGTTGTCGACGTACAGGGTGGTGGGAACACCCTTCTTGAGCAGTTGAAACTCCCACAGCAGGAACCTTAGCTTGCGCCCCTCCTTTCCTGCTTCCACCGCAGCCACAAGCTTGCTCTCGGTGGAGAAAAGTTTGGTCGCACCCTGCAGCTTCTTGGCCTGCCATGAAACGGCAGCTCCACCAAGCTTGAAAATGTAGACTCCTGTGGACGACCGGTTCTCCTTGTCGCCTGCATCATCCGCATCCGCATACCCCACCAAAGTCAAGCTCTGTGGTCCTGTCGGAACCTCACCACTCCCCTCTTCCCTTGCAGCCTTCTCTCCTTCTGGTACCTCCTTCACTCCCAGTACCATCTCCTCCTGATGTCATTCTTCCCCTTGTGCTGCCCTTCACCCCCCCTCGTCACTGTTCTAGCTTCTCCTTCCTTGCTACTAGTTCTCTTGATGCACTCACAGCTCCTGCTCCCTCACATATCTCTGCCTCCACAATCTACCAACTACATAACAGCTTGTGATATCTCCTTCTAGCCACTACTTGCTTCGTCGGTTGCAAAAATATCGTGTAGTAAAGGAAACATACAAGCATTGAGGCTAGCTCTACCAGAATCCGCCTATTCTACCAGTTCCGTCACCCCCCCCATGGGTCCTGCCCTTCCCTAGTCTACTCGCTAGCAGCTATTGCTACTTTCGAGAAGGCTTGCATCCATGCTGCCTGTTGCCACTGTTCCTCGCCTCTAGCTACTTTGCCTCCAGCTGACATTGCCCAGATCCAGCTGGCTCCTGGGAGCTTGCCTGCACACATAGGGAAACAAACACACATGCAAACGAACACCCATCCAAGTGCCTGTGGTAACCATCCTGCCTTTGCAGCCACTGCCTTGCGCTGTAAAACCTACTTGAGTCCACGTCCTCCTTTCGTAAGTACTGCCCTGCCTACTCTCCATTCCCCGACCCTTCGCTTTGGCAGATGTCCATCCCCCTCGAACCTCTCAAGTTCCCTTCCCTACCCCAACCGCCGCTTGACCCTTCACTCCTCGTCCTCGACACTGCCCAGCTCGCTATTTACAATATGTATATTTTGTACACCCCCCCTTGCTCTCCCCGCTTTCCATATCACGTTCACATGAATGTGACAGTCCTCCCTTGAACAGTAGCTCCATGTCCGACGAGGCAGCCCAGTAGGAGAGTGTGCAGAAGAGCACATGCCAATGCACATCCGTCCTTTGGTGTGCACCTGCTGCAAGGCGACTGCACGCAAAAGATAGGCCAAGACGGTTTGAGATGGCTGCAAATTGCACCATGCCGAGGATTGACAAGTGCTTGGTCATGGTTCGGTCGGCAAATTGCCCAGCATCCTTCTTGCCAAAGCTGCTGCACCTTCGCCACGTATGCATTCTGGTGTAGGAGAAGTGTCCTGTTGGGGCGGTCGCGCACAATCTGCAGCCCCCGGTAGCGCTCCACTGGCTCCACCTCACGGAGCTGAAACGCCTTGGCCAGCAGCTCCATCAGGTCCTGCAGCAGCTGCTAGTCTTCACTTGCCGCTAGCAGGTCATCCACGTAGAGTAGCAGTCACACGCGCTTCCCGCTCGCCCCATCCTTGTAGTATAGGGCCTGGTCCAGAAGGCTCTTCTTGTACCCTTCCACAAGGAGCACCTTGTCCAGCTCCTTGTAGCACAGAAAGGGACTCTTCTTTAGCTCGTAAAGGCTCTTTTATAGGAGGCACACCTTGCTGCTACCGTCGGTGAAGTAGGGCAGCTGCTGCATGTAGATATCGTGGTCGATGGTGTCGTGAAGAAATGCATTTTTTACATCAAGCTGCAGCAAATCCAGGTCCATAGCTGCTGTGATTGAGAGAAGCACGCGAACGGTGGTGTAGCTACCAACAGGAGCGTAAGTGTCGTCCTAGTCGATGCCGAAGCGCTGGCTAAAGCCCTTAGCCACGAGCCTAGCCTTGTACTTCTCCACGGTGCCATCAGGCCACAGCTTCTTCTTCAGCAGCAATTGACGCCAACTGTTTTGCGACCTTCAGGTAGGTCAGCCAACGTCCAAGTGCCTTGCTCATTAAGGCTCTCCATCTCCTCCTTCATAGCAGCCCACCATTCTTTACCTTCAGGTTCGGTCAACGCAGCTGCCAGGTCGAGGATGACACCTCCCCAAGCGCCTTCCTCCTCCTCATCCTCGTCTGGGTACTCCACTTCGTCTTCGCTGTCCGTGTCGCAATCATCCTCAGCAAGGTACGCCGCATTGTACGGTTGTCCTCATCGTCCGCATCCAGGGCCGTCATGGCTGGAGGCTGAAACCGTACGGATGGCACCCCCTTGTTAGGCCTGCTGGAGCGATGTGGGGGAGGTGGAGTGAGCTGGGTAGAGGGGACCGCATGTAAAGGCTCATGCTCATGGGCCACCGATGGCTGCTCATCCACTACTACCTCTCCTTCCTCCTTATGATCAGCCGTGGTGCCTCTGTCATTAAGGGGACCATCCTCTGGTCCCACGGGCGTCAAATCAGCACTTGAAGAAGGACTGCGGGGTGGCGCGGCCATGGGTGCCTTGCTGCCCGTAGGGCCCACCGAGCAATCAAGCGGTTGCTCGTCCCCTTGCACGGATGGTATCGGGACCACGATGACGGTACGTGGTGGCGGCGAATTCTGCTCAGGGTCGTAGGGCTCAGGAAAGAGAGATGGGAGTGAAGCAAAGGGTGGTGTGGGCTGGTCATTCCCGTCACCCACGCGTGCACGCCACTTCTGCCACCGTTCAAGTGACATGTCCTCATAAAAACGTGCATCCCGAGTGATGATCATGCGATTTGATCCAACATCTACCACACACCATCCCTTGCTTTCCATGCTTATGCCCAAGCACAAGCCCCAACAAGTCTTGCTTGCAAGCTTCCCCTCACGCTCATGCTCAGGAATGTGGTATTGCACCATGCACCCAAACAGATGGACCATGGACACATCGGGCTTGACTACGAACACCACCAAATGAGGGGCCACGCCAGGGCAGGGTGGATTGGTGCACACGGTTAACCACCCACAGAACTGCTGGAAAGCTGAGTGCCACCAGTGTGCTTTCACCCCCATGTGCCCCAACATCACACGCATGCCCTTGGTTACTGTACGGTTGCGGCGTTCAGCCACACCGTTCTGCTGGGGGGTCGAGGGGCAGGAAAGTTGACGCAAGATTCCTCGTTGCTTCAGCACCAACAGAAACTCATTCGACATAAGCTCCCCTCCCCGGTCCCACCGCAACACTGTCAGCATCATTCCGGTTTGACGTTCAGCTTCGGGAAGCCATTCCTTGAAGGCAGCAAGCGTGTCGCTCTTCAGCTTCAACGTCTTCCCCCAGTGTAACGTGAGGCATGGTGCATGAGCAGAATGTAGTACCTGCTTCCATCCATGGTTGGGTTCTGAAATGGACTGCACACGTCAGTATGGACCAGCCCAAGAACCTGCTCCTCACGCTCGTCGTGCAGCGGAAATGATTCGCGGGTGAGTTAGGCTTCATGGCAAGAGGTGCACGGCATATCCTCACCTCGTTTCTCCAGGTCCATGCCTAACACGCCAACGCTCGTGGTTGTCTGCTTCACCGCATCGAAGTGGACGTGTCCAAGGCGAGCGTGCCACAGGTTGGGCGTTGCCTTGGAGCCTACCGCGTACGTCTTGATGCTGGCCGCTCCCGCAACAACCACCTTAGTCATGCCATTGCATGTCATTGCAGTCACCGTGCCGTTGCATGCTGCTCCAGCCGCCGTGCCATTGCATGCCGCTGCAGCCACCGTGCCGTGGCATGCTGCTCCAGCCACCGTGCCGTTGCAAGCCGATGCAGCCATCATGCCGTTGCATGCTGCTGCTGCCGTTGTGCCGTTGCTTGCTGGCCACGATTTCAGGTCAAGGCAAAGAAGACAATGGCAGTAGGGTGCTGTTGCAGCCACTTGTCCTCCCGATGCGATGATGCGGGTGACACCTTCTTCGATTTGCAGATTTGCTCCTTTTTCCGTGAGCTGCCCAGGGGTGACCAAATTGGCCTTCATTCTTGGCACAAAGAGGATATCATGCAGGGTCACACGCAAGCCGTTAGTGCCCTCCAGCAAAACCTCACCAACACCGGCGAATTCCTGCATAGAACCATCAAACCCTTTGACGGATTTCGTTGCAGATGGGTCACGGATCGCCATGAATGCCTCCTTGCAGCTTGTCATTTGTTGGGAGCATCCCGAGTCAAGGAACCACAAGTTCTTGTCGTCGACCAGCAACTTCGCAACCAAACACACGACGGTGAGCACCACGCCCTTCCCGTCTCCTTCGGCTACGTTCGCGGCTGCCGTGGGCATTGTATCCTTCTTCTTCGGACACTTGGCAGCCATGTATCCCTCCTTATTGCAGTAGTTGCAGCGCCCCTTGAAGGGAGCTCGCTTCTTCTCCCGCTTGCCATCCTTCTTCTTGTCCATCTGCTCCCTTCCTCCTTTCCCTTCCTTCCCGTTGACCCCCGTTGTAGCCACGATTGTGTTGACAGCGCCATAGAAAGCCGATGCATCACTGGTGATCTGCTTGTAGCTCTGTTCGATGGAAAGGGTCTGCTCCTCCATCACCACCTCAATGCACACACGTTTGACCGTCATCTCTCGGCTAGAAATGTTGAGCTTGCAGCAAAGAAATCCATACTCCGGCGGCAGTCCCTTCAACACATGCGCAATGAACGTGGCCATATGGACCTGCTGTCGAATGGTCAGCAGCTCCGCTGGAATGGTGCGAGTATTGTTGTAGTAGGATTCGGCCATCTCGTCATCTCCCTTCCTGGGTTGGGCTAGCTGGGTCTGAAATAGGGAGGCGTGGAGGGCATCACGAGCTTGGTACGTCGACAAGATACATGCCCATGCCATTTGCCCAGCTTTCTCTTGCTGAGAGAAACCAGAGATGGACATTTGGATGGGTGGGGAAACACAACAATTAAGCACCATGAATGCAAGCATTTGGCCCTTCGCGTACTCTCTTCGTTGCACAGGGTTGTTTGGGGCCGGGCTTGGTGCTGTCCCATGCGGTAAGGTCGTGCCTTCCCTCCAGCAGCGGCGTCACGGAGATGTGCTCATCTCCATAGCTCGTGCCGATCATTCCCATGTCAATGGTCGGTGCAACAGCTCCTCCATCAATGCCTACAGCAACAGGAGCCTCATGCTCAGCTCCTCCCCCACCAGCTCCCCCTTGCTGGCCGCCCGCAGGTGGTTGCTCCGCTGCACGTTCCCGAACCAAGCGTAGTAGACGACCATCCATAATAAGGTCGATCTCCTCATCGCGCAAGTTAGGGTGGTGCCCACGAACGGATGACTCCAGCTCCTGACCTACTATAGCAGCTTGATCGAGCTTGAAAGCCCGATTCCAACGCACTAAAGATCGCAGGTTATGGTCCACTATAGCCAGAGATACACACAAACATAGCAGTGATAATGACTTAGTTGATTTCTGGTTTGTGCCCTCCGGTTTTATACTAGGACGCAATACAAAATAAAAGCACATAAGAAAGTGTCGACCCGGGCCGCGCGCTGAATTTCGTCGACGCGAAATTTCGAGCCTTGAATCTTGCCGGGCGAATTCCATTGACTGGAATTCCATAGACGAGTATTTCCGCGACTAGAATTCCGTCGACCACCGACTGTAACTCCCGTGCAAATTCCGTTGACTTCGACACTTCGCTGCCGAGTTTCAAACCGAACGCGATCAAATATCGATTTTGCCAAACTGTCCCCAATCTGTCCCCAATATGTTTGACAAGACACTTCGGAACACTTGAATCGAAAGTTCTCCAGTTCGAAACTCGCGTGCACCATAACCAACGCCTTAGCAAAAACTGCCCTGAATCTGTCTTGAGACACTTTTAGGACAGATTTGAAGGGCAGGAGCTCGAATCCTAGCGCAGACATTTTGTTGCTCATGGAAGCATTTCCTTCTAACACATCGGGCATGGGGCATGTGCTTGGAGGACGGGACTCAGTGGTACTCACAGGTCACTCAGATGCTTCTTTGGCCAACGACCAGGCGACTCAGTGGTCGTCAAGGTTACACCTTCAGTCTTGGCTCTGGTTCTGTCTCGTGGAGGTCCGCTCATTCGTCTTCTGTGCTTGGTTCCAGCTGTGAGGCCGAGATCTATGCTGGGGCTATGGCTGCACAGGAGCTACGCTGGCTGGCCTACATGCTGACCGACTTGGGGGAGCGGCCTCGTTCTCCTCCAGTCCTGTACGTCGACAACAAGGCCATGCTTGCCTTGTGTCACGAGCAGTGACTGGAGCACAGAACAAAACATATTGGTCTTCACTACTTTCTTGCTCGAGAGCTGCAGCAGTGTTGGCAGCTTCGCCTTTCCTACGTGGCATCTTAGGCCAACGCTGCTGATGTCTTCACCAAGGCCCTTGGGTCTGGTGATCATTAGCATTTCTACACTGCTCTTGGGCTTCTGCCCACTGTGCCTCACCTGCTTGTCTCTTGATCTTGCCTTGCACTTGTTGTACACTGCTATATATGCTTATATCTGCATGTTTACTCTTGCTAGGTCGTGATCAGTGTACTGCCTTGCTATTATTAACTCTGCATATGAACTGGCCTTGTGACCACTTGCTTGTGCTCGGAGTGTGTGGTGTCCTTGAGATCCACCCTGAGCTTTGCTTTGTCTTGTTCTCTTGCATGACTGGTCTTGTAAGCGTTTGTTGTGTTTGCTATCCCCCACTTTGTCTATGGGAGTGCGTCAAATTATGCTTGTATGTCTCTAGGCTGTAGTGGGGCATACTCTAGTGAGTACAACACTTTAGGGTTGCATACTAGTACTCATCATTCTGCTCAACTCAATCATTCCTGCCTAGTGATTTCGACAGTTGGATCCTTCTACTCTTTCTCATCTCTACCGTTGCTTACCACCAATTTTACCATGATGTCGTTATCATAACAAATGGCTCGTTGCGGAAGTCTAAAGTGCATGGATTGTTGGGGGGGAATTGCAGATTGTTTTCCTTGTGAGACCTGCCTGTTGTGAATGTCAACCTGATTTTCCCTAGATGCATTGCAAACACTTGGCCCATGGGATTAAGTTTGTTTACTATCGTGGAGACCTGTGTACGCACCATCTTTGAGAAGATGGTATAGACTCAGTCTAAGTAACAACTTTACCGAATATGTTGGTCATTCTCTCTTCGTAACTGTAATACTTTGCGTTGCCGCACTGTCCTTCACCAATGGCACGTAAAGGTGGAGTTGGAATCAATGCCTCAGCTAAGAATTCCCCATTGAATCAGGGGCGGCAAGTTCCCAGAAGAAGCTTTGAAAGCAATTGAAGATTGAAGCTTTGTTCGAGCTCACTGATTATTGCATCAATTCAACAATAGAATGGTGTAACGAACCGGTGGCACATAGTAGAGAGGATTCACACATTACTGGTTGTGAGTGGTCTCCTTGTTTGCTTGTGGGCTACATCATTGGTGGTATGGGTTAGGAACAGGATGTCCCGTAGTGCCCCGCTTGCTTTCATCACCCCTAATGGCGTCGCCGTCTAGTCAAGAGCCGCTTGTGAACATCGTTTGGATTTGGGGTTTCAAGGAAGCGTCTTGAGGAAGGGGCGAAGCATGTGGGCTGGGGGTAGGGGTGAAACATGTAGGCTGATGTCAGAATGAGAGAAGTGATTGCACTAGGAAAAGGGTTGGGTACAAGTAGGAAACCCTAAACTTTCTGTACCCCATAGTATCTACCCCACTACAGCCTAAACAAACTATAGCAGATATAACATTTGACACACCCCCATAGGCAAAGTGGGGGAGAGCAAGGGGTCACAAGACCAGTCAAGAAAGGCAAAGCAAGCTCAGGGTGGATCACAACGTCACCACACTCACTCAGCACAAGCAAGGGGCCACAAGGCCAGTTCACATGCAAAGGCATATATGTAACACAAACATCACATTGATCTCTACCTAGAAAAGCAAGCATGCAGGTATATATATATATATGTATATATATCACAGTACAAGCAAAGCCTACAGCAAGTGAGGAAAAGTGGGCACAAGCCCTAGCATAGTGCAGAAACGCTGATGATCACCAGACTGAAGTGCCTTGGTGAATATATCAGCAGTGTTGGCCCGAGTGGCCACGTAACGCAGACGAAGCTGACCACGCTGCTGCAACTCTCGAGCCAGGAAGTAACGCAGAGCGATGTGCTTCGTTCTGTGCTCCAGTCTGTGCTCCTCACACAAGGCAATGGCAGGCTTGTTGTCGACGTACAGCACTGGAGGAGAACGAGGCCGCTCTCCCAAGTCGGTCAGCAGGTAGGTGAGCCAGCATAACTCCTGTGCAGCCATGGCTGTGGCGTAGATCTCAGCCTCACAACTGGAGCTGAGAACTGAAGACAAACGTGTAGAACGCCAAGAAACTGAACCAGAGCCAAGGCTGAAGGTGTAACCCTGTGACGACCGTTGAGTAGCCTGGTCGTCAACCCAAGAAGCGTCTGAGTGCCCAGTGAGAACAACTGAGCTCCTCCCTCCAAGCATGAGCCCCATGCCTGATGTACTGCACAAGTAGCGTAGTACCCTCTTAGCAGCATCCATGTGCACCTTTCGGTGCCGACCAGGAGCCACGTAGCGAGCCAGAAGGCCAAGAGGGTACGCGAGGTCAGGACGAGTGCAAGTCATCAGGTACATGAGGCAGGTAGGTGAGCCAGCGTAACTCCTGTGCAGCCATGGCTGTGGCGTAGATCTCAGCCTCACAACTGGAGCTGAGAACTGAAGACAAACGTGTAGAACGCCAAGAAACTGAACCAGAGCCAAGGCTGAAGGTGTAACCCTATGACGACCGCTAAGTAGCATGGTCGTCAACCCAAGAACCGTCTGAGTGCCCAGTGAGAACAACTAAGCTCCTCCCTCCAAGCATGAGCTTCATGCCTGATGTACTGCACAAGTAGCGTAGTACCCTCTTAGCAGCATCCATGTGCACCTTTCGGTGCCGACCAGGAGCCACGTAGCGAGCCAGAAGGCCAAGAGGGTACGCGAGGTCAGGACGAGTGCAAGTCATCAGGTACATGAGGCAGCCAACTAGCTCTGGGTAAGGACCACTCGGGTCTGCGGACTCATCCGAAGGTGGAGCTGAGAGCGAGTGACCTGTAGCCAGAGGAGTCGGCTGTGCCGAGGACCAGGTGAAGCCGAAGCGCTGAAGGACCTGCTGCACCATGTGTGACTGAGTCAGTGTGATGGTGCGGCGTGCTCTGTCCCGGGTGATCTGCAAGCCAAGGTAGCTGCGCAGTTCACCCAGGTCTGTGCACGTGTGTCTCTTCTGCAGCTCCGACTTCACCAGGGCGAGAGCCTCAGTGTCAGCAGTGGCAAAGACCAAGTCGTCGACGTGCACGAGGATGTAGAACGGCGGCAGCAAAGTGTCAGTGCGCAGAAACAGCGACGGGTCAGCAGTAGAAGGCGCGAACCCAAGAGCCGCAAGTGTAGTCCTCAGTGTGTCGTGCCACTCACGTGGCGCCTGGCGGAGACCGTAGACCGGCCGCCGGAGGCTCCACTGGGTACCAGGAGGAAACGACCCAGTGAAGCCAGGAGGGCGGCGCAGCCAGATCTCCTCGTGCAGGCTGCCCTGCAAGAAAGCTGTGCTGAAGTCAAGAGAGTGAAGCTCGTAGTCACGCTGAGCGGCAATGTGCAGTAGCACCCGAAGAGTGGTCATCTTCGGGGTGGGTGTGAGGATCTAGGAACGAGCTCAGAAATGAGAGTTTGAATTGAATTGAATGATCACCTGGGTACAACACGAGGCTATATATAGGCTCAACACAAGGTCCCGTAACCAGGTGTTACGCGAAGGTTCCGCGGGTCGCGAAGCGTCCCGAACAGATCCTTCCCGAATTCGGTAGAAGGCAATTCGGTGGCAACCGAAAAGCCAGAATTCGGTGCACGCAACATAGCTCAGTGCTATAACTATAATAAAATATAGGAAAGCACCTAGCCTAGGAAATCAAGCAATTCATGCATGCATATGATTATCCTATGCTAGAAATAGCATAATAAAGTAAAGGCAAGCAAGCATAGCTAGCATAAGCCGTCGTACTCTCACACGTCCCCCCCTCAAAGCTGGGTGGCGTGAGATACACCCTGCTTGACAAGGTAGGCCGTGAGAGCACGGCGTGCGTTGCCCATATCAGCTTCTGCAACCCAACTGTCCTCAGTGGGGCCGTATCCCTTCCAGCGTATCAGGAAATCGAGGTTCTTGCCGCCGCGGCGCCGATGAGTGAGAACGCGCTCCACTTCGTA